ATTATTCTTTTTGTTGCAGTGGTAAATGGGAGTGTTTCCTTAATTTCTCTTTCAGATTTTTCATCATTAGTGTATAGGAATGCAAGAGATTTCTGTGCATCAATTTTGTATCCTGCAACTTTACCAAATTTATTGATTAGCTCTAGTAGTTTTCTGGTGGCATCTTTAGGATTCTCTATGTATAGTATCATGTTATCTGCAAACAGTGACAGTTTTACTTCTTCTTTTCCAGTCTGTATTCCTTTTATTATTTTTTTCTTCTCTGATTGCCTTGGCTAGGACTTCCAAAACTATGTTGAGTAATAGTGGCGAGAGTTTTCCTATAGGTTTTACAATCTGGGTTTTGCTCATTGTATTCCCAAGTGTTGATTAATATGTTCCTCTATCTCCTGTATTTCCTATAAATGAATAGTCAGATCCAGAGGCTTGACTAAATTCTGGTTAGATTCTTTTGGGGGTTGGGAGGGAGAATACTTTACAGGTGATCACGTCCAGGGGTATATTAATGTCTACCTGTTTTTGTGTGTGATGTTAAGTAGGCCTTAAAAGTATCTTAAAGGTATTTTCTAGTTCTCAGTGGGTTCAGATGTTGTTAGTCTGATCTACTTAATGTAAAAGGGATTTTAATTGAGTTTAGATTAAATCACCTGCTGTCTTTGTAGATGAAACTGTTCAGAAACATTCGAACTTGAGTCATTGAGATGGTAGTTATGGAAAGTAGTGTGGCTGCTTATCTGACAGATTTTCTTTCTAATAGCTGGAGGAAGAACTAAAACAGCAGAAAGAAGCAGCTTGCTTCAAGGCTCGTCCAAACACCGTCATCTCCCAGGAGCCCTTTGTTCCTAAGAGAGAGAAAAAATCCCTTACTGGTAGTATTTTATGTATTCTTGGGGGATTGGGGCAGAATGGTTAGACTTCCTGGGACTCAGTTGTGTCAGTACAATGCTGTGTCAACCAGAAGCATCTGCCTGTAGGGGATCTAATTTTTTCTCCCCTAGCTCTTTATTGAATCCAGCAGCTATGTTGATTTGTAGAGTGTGTTGGGGTCAGATTCATAGAACAAGCACCTGGCATTTCAACAACAATTTTACTTTCCCCACCCAGAGAGTAGCAAGTAAGTGAGGGAGAGCCAGGACTTCTTTCTGGAGTTCACCCTAAAGCAAGCCTTAGATAGAAAACATTTGATTCCTTTAGCACTGGACAGCGTTTCAGAAAAGTGGGATTCTTTTCCTAAATCTGTCTCACAATCACTGTGTAGTTTTGAGCAAGCTACTTCACCTGTGTAGGTCTTGCTTTTCTCCTAATTAGATGATTTATAGGGGCCCTTCCAATGATTTATAGGGGTCCTTAAAATTTTAGGACTTTTTGTATGTGGTTTACTCCACCTTTCTCCCAACTAGGCTTCCTTAGAGCTCCACCTTTCTGTTGCCATGCATATCTATCACTTGCTGGATCTGTGGGGCTAGGTTTATGCAAGTCTTGCTTGTGCACCAATATTCTCTCTGTTTCTGTACTCAGAGGGCCTTTCTGGTTCTCTAGTTCAAGAAACTTTTCAGCTGGCCACTGAGAAGAGAGCCAAGGAGCGGCAGGAGCTGGAGAAGAGAATGGCTGAGGTGGAAGCCCAGAAAGCCCAGCAGTTGGAGGAGGCCAGGCAACAGGAGGAAGAGCAACAGAAGGAGGAGCTGGCCAGACTACGGAAAGAACTGGTAACTGGGCAGCATGAGCACTGACTAACCCATGGTTGCGTCTGTTTTGTTTTATCTGTACCTTGCCTTGTTCCAGAAAGGATCTAAGGTGGCCTCCAAGGATACATCAAAGTTGAGTGAAAATGAGAAGTCAGACAAACCAGGGGTGGTGACAAAGTTGAGGAGTGAACGAGGCTAAAGATGTATACATTGTGATCCATGCATCTGCTAAGTGATATAAACAAGCTAGTTATTTAACAAATACATTTATCTTTGATCCTGAATTCAGTCAGAATTTCTTCCAGGGGTCTAAGTAAGGAGGACATCAGGTGCTATACCAGTGCACAGTGATATATTTGTAGGACTCTTTATTTAACGTTTTATTATTGCCTTAAGGCTTAAGGAAACCAATGTGTTTTACAATTAGAATACATAGGTAGGGAAGGACATGGGAATTGTGTGACAACTATATTTTCATTTTCCTCTTAATACTTGACTCAAATCCCTTGGAGTTATAGTGCATATCAGTCCAGGTGACCTTCCATGTTAACACTAGATAATGATTTAAATATTAGTTATCCAAAAAGAAAGCTTAATTCACATTAAGGACCCTTTCACTAGGAGGGCAGCAAGCCACATTAACTGCATTAATAAGGAAGAACACAGTTTTAGATAGAATTTCATATGCTTAGTAAAAGGATGAATATAGCAATATGTAAGTTGTTGAGGTTTTGTCTAAAAGTGCTAAGCCAGCAGCTGATACAGCTGTTGGTAGAGGTGACTGGCCACAGGAGGGCTCTAGGGACAAACTATTAAAGGGACTAGCTTCCTGACAAAATCCAAGCTACCGTATGCTGATTGGATGTACTCACAAAACCAGCCTCAAGTGTTCTGACTTTTCTTCAGCACTTGAATCCTGCCTCTTGTGATTGTCTATATCATAGAACTCTCTACTAATCTGGCTTGATTCAGGGTTGATTTTAGACTGTAAGAAGGATGGATGGGACCATGCCTTCTCCTGGCAACCTTTCTTGGTTATTTTATTTTATTTATTTATTTTTGTCCATGCTTTTGGTGAATATTAAGACTCAATAATCTTAAGATTGTACTCTGGCAAATTCTTAACATGTATCTCCTTTCTGCTGCAATTGAGTACAGCCCCGTTATACCCTAGCACTGAAGAGTCAGACTGGAGATAGGTGCAAGCTGAGGGATCCAGCAAGACCTGAATAGAAACCTACTTGAGCTCCAGAGCTCTTGTGCTTTGCTGCTAGACTGTGTTGCCTCCCACCAACCCCCAAATTAGTGACTGGGATTTGCAAAACTATACAAAAATGTTCTCAAGAAGAGGAGCAAAAACACCCATAAGTATAGTTCTCTAACATCCTTATCAATGGTAACTTTATTTTTCTCACTCTGCAGGTACACAAGGCAAATCCAGTACGCAGGTACCAGGGTGTGGAAGTCAAGTCAAGTGACCAGCCCTTGACCGTGCCTGTATCGCCTAAGTTCTCCACTCGATTCCACTGCTAAACTCGGCTTTGAGCTGTGGACACCATCTGGGAACCGGAGCTACTCTTCCCATTAAACCAGGAGCCTTCTTTGTCACAGGGGCATGGAGAGAACCCATTTCTCCAGGCTTTTTCCTACCCATGCCTGACAAGTGTGGACTCCAATTTCATTGAGAGCTGTTTTCCTACATTATTGTGGCTAATAATGAGACTCAACTCATGTATGTCTCAACCAGACTCCCTGTAGTTATTTCCTTGGAACCATCAGTTGACCTTTAATATGGGTCTTAACTCTGACTAGAATTTAAAGTCTCTGTATCAGTACAGTGTAATTTCTGTTGCCCTTACCCCCCGCCCCCCTTTTTTTCCTGTTTTAATCAGAAAATAAAGATAGTTAAATACTGAGATAGGATTTAAGTCATGAATTAAAAGAGGAACCATCAGTAGTATGTCAGATTCTTTTCTCTTCTCTGTGCAAAATGAATTTAGAGTTAAGGAGCCCTTCGCTACGAGGGGGGAAGCCTCATTAACTGCATGACGAGGAAGAGGCTTGACTGACGGGAACCTCACAGCAGCCATCGGCTGGCCTCGGGTAGAGCCTGCTGTTCAGGCACGTTCTTCCCTTGTCGGTGCTGATGATAATAGGGGGCGCTGAGTACTACACGTTTTAAGTCCTCCAGTGACCGAGACTGGAATAAATACGTTTGTCTTCCCTCCCTGATTTTGTTATTTGATGTTTTTAAATCTGTCCCCCTTTGGAGGTAACATCTTATTGGGGAAGTGGGTACTTTGAGAGGAGGGTCTAGGAACTTTTAAAAGCATAGGCTCTGTCCTTAAAGGAAAGAGCTTTGTGACTTTTCTGTCTTATGTCAGAATATCCTTCCATATTTTGTTAACTCCCTCCTAGGAACCATTCTGGAAGCCTGTTATGCCTTCAAAACAGACTGTGCCTTCTTCTCTAAACGTGTTTTTTCTCATCTGGTAAACTCTTCTTTATGAGACTCAGCTCTAGTAAAATCTTTTTCATAAATCTTTCGTTGACCATTTGACCTCCTCAGGTAAGGCAAGATTTCCTTCTTTGTGCCTCCCAAATGTTTCTTATGTATATCTCTAGTAGAACAGTTATACCACTAAGTTACTTGTACTTGTTTACAAGCTAGTAGCGATGAAGATAACTAAAATTATGTTAGTCCTTGAAGATAAAAATTATGTTAATCATATCTGTATTTCTCATAGTTGGCACAGAATTTGCTAGGTCCATGTTATCAATAGTGTATTTTCTTTTAGACTTGATATTGTTTATGAACTCTACTCTGTACCAGTCATCTCTTCCTGTGCCACGAGATATAAAAGCATCCATCTTCTGCCCAGGCTAGGCCTAGGCACTATATATGATATTAGACCTATGTTATATTCCTTTGTTTATTCATTCAGTGACCATTATGTACAAGCCATTGTAGATTAAGTGACGGGCAACAAAGCAAGATGTGATTTGCAGATCCCTGGGCCTCCTGAAGGCCCACAGAGTGATACAAAGTGCAGTTCCTTTATTCATTTCCTAGAGATATGTGATGTACAGTTCCATAACAACTTGTGTAGTTCATTTAACAAATATTGATTCAGTACTAACTATATATACGCTGGCACTGTTCTAGTCTCTGGGCATATAGCAATGAACAGAAATAGAAGACCTTGACTTCATGGAGGTTACCTTTTAGAAGGGGAGACAGACAATAAACAAGTAACTGTCCTCTTCTGTCAGGTGATAAATGTTTCTCTGACTGACTGTGTGGAAAATAGAGTAGGATGGGGACTTGGGGGCATGTAAGATTGGAAACAAGAAAGTGAGGAGGTTCTTGATGTTGTCCAGGTAAGAGCTGATAGTGGCCTGGGCTAGGGTGGTAGCAGTGGAGGTGATGAGAAATGGTTGGATTCTGAATGGATTTTGAAGCTGTAACTGACAAGACTTGCTAACAGATTGGACGCGGGGGAGAGAGAGAGAGAGAGAGAGAGAGAGGGGGTAGATAAGGATGGTATTTAGATATCAGCCTCAAACAGAAATAGAGTTCTCCATCCCTTGTGCTGTGAAAAATCCAGTTCTACCCCAGTCCTCATATCTCTTGTGGATTCTCTGGGTGGGGGTGGGACAACTTCCTTTTCTGAACACCTTTTGCTTTGGTTTTTCTCTGTTCATCTCTTGATCCCCTCTCTGTGTCTTTTCCTCTGTAGCTTTTCTCTCTCCCATGTATCAGCAGTTCTCTAATAGTTCACTGTCATTCATATATTGCCATCTAGTATCATTTTTTCATATATTTTGTTCATTTTTCGTTTTGTTTGTTTCAGGTAGAAGAATAAATCTGGCCCTCAAGTTGAGGGTTTTAGAAAGAGTGTTACGTATTGAGAATTATGGACCTGTGGGATCCTTCCACCCCATTTGCTCCATTCTGGATTGCCCCCTCCGGACACACCCACATCAGGGTGATATTGTTTGGCAGTCTGTTACGGCAACAGAGAGGGATTATATTATTTCAGAGCAAATAGCTTTTAAAATTAAGATGCCCTTGCTTCCCAGAATTCCCCAGTTTCCTGGTGGTCTCCTCAGCACAACCTGTCTAGTATTGAGCCCTTTCTTTCCGGACCACCTCACATGCCCTTCATTTTCCTAGGACAGCCTCCCGTTTCCCCTGAAACTCAAGCTCTGCTTCTATTTTACAGAGAAATTCAGGTTCTTTATCCCTCAGGCCTTGTCCAAGAGAGAGCTTCTCTTTCAACACTCAGAGGTCACCCTGGAATTTTGCTAAACAAAGAACATGTCCTCTAATAGGATTTACTGAATTCTACTGAGAAATCTGGCTGCCACAATCTGCTTGGCAGTTTTGCAAAACTCCTAGCACATGTGCACGTTCAGATTGTTAGAATTCCCACACTTGCTGGGAAGGACTGTTTTCAGTGTTGTTTTGACTTGGTCATGATTCCCCATTGCTAACAGTTTGTGCTAATTAATACAAGATTACCTTTCACTCTTAATTTGGTTGATCATTTTGTTCTTGTGTAATTGCTTTGTTCCCGTTTTGACTGCTGTTTTATGCTTTAACAGTTCTTTTCCACAGAATTTTGTCCTTGGAAAGTGGAGCTTGAGTGGTGGAGACACTGCAGTGGCAGTTGCTCCAGCATTTAATAGATAAGTCTTATACACAAACAATTGTAACACAGGATAAGATGTGATTGAGTAACATGAGACAGACAGAAAAGATGCTGCAGGAGGAGTTTAGAGGTTCTTGTTGGAGGTGAGATTGCAGTTCTTAAAGATGTTTCTTTTTTTATGTAAAAATTATGAAAGTAGTATAGTCATCCCTCAGTATCCACAGGGGATTGGTTCCAGGACCCCCTGTGGATACCAAACTCCACGGATGCTCAAGTCACATTTAAAATGGTGTATTTGCATATAACCTATGCACATCCTCCCATATACTTTAAGTCATCTCTAGATTACTTATAATACCTAATACAATGTAAATCATTGTAAAGACAATGTAAATTATACATAAATAGTTGCACATGTACAGCAAATTCAAGTTTTGTTTTTTGGAACTTTCTGGACTTTTTTTTTTTCAAATATTTTTGATCCATGGTTGGTTGAATCTATAGATATGGAACCTATAGATACAGAGGGCTGACTGTACTGCCTTTTGGAAACCAAACAATACAGACTGTATAAAACAAAACACGAAAGTCTCTTACTTCCCCTACTCCCATTCCCCAGGAGTAACCCAGTATTACCAGTTGTGTATTCTTCCAGAATGTTTTTTATGTACACACACAGATTTATAGAGCATTTTTTATAACAATAAGATTATAGCATTACGCATTTGCCTTTAATTTTAATTTGTTCTTTGAAGGTTATATATCATGTCTTTCAAAATTCGAAAGCTACAAAGGGGTTTAGAGATAGTTGGTGCTGCCAGGTGTGTTCCCTTGCAGAGATGGCATCAGCCTATACTTATTCGTACCTGCTCCCTCTTATTTTTCAACAAATAGTGTCATAATTTACACTCTGTAGCTTGTTCTTTTCATATGTGTTCTGCATTGAATAATGTGGTTCAGGCACTACCTTAGGCATGTACTAGCTTTCTCCCTGGCTGAAGTATGAAGCCTCTTATGAGAATCTAGTGACATGGAGGCAGACCTGGTGTGGGGTCTAGATGTCCTGGCCTAGTGACCTCAGGTCCCAAAGGCTCGAGGTCAGGTCAGCAAAGCCTGCTCTTTTAATTCCTCCTGGCTTAGCTGAGCCTTGGGGGTTCATTGGCTTGAGTATCTGGTTAAACCTGTGTATCCCCTTAGGTCACTCTTGATATGCTTCCTTTTCAGTTCCCTTCTGAATCTTGTCTGCTGGGGAAGTTCCTCATTGCTGAGAGTAGCAGTTAAAAAAGCTGTCAGCCACGAGGCTGAGCTCCTATTTCTGCACAGGCAGGCTGAGTACAGCATGGTGGTGTGGATCCAGGTAGGAATTGGTCAACATTCTGAATCCTGAGCTGCCATCTGCCTTGCAGCCTGCTGGGGTGCTCAGTTTAGACAACATATAAAGTTTCCTGGATACGGAACAAACCGAGGCCTATGGAAAGAGCAGGAAGGTTAAAGTGTGTGGTACTTTGAGCAGTGACGAAGGCATAACCAGGGAGCTGACATGTTTGCTCCAATGCCAAGAATTCGAGGACAATTTGTTATCCAGCTTAAGCCATTGTAGTTGCTACAGAAAAGCCTGGGGACAAAAACATGCTTTTTCCTTGTTTTTGTCTTCCTGCATACCCACTCTGTTTTCTAGTGCTGTAGTGAAGGTTACTGACCTCAAAAACAGAAATGTCTGATGGTGTTTGCTCTTCTCCTCCTTGCAAGAGAATATGAGGCTGGGCTGCGGTCAAAGCGTGGCTCTTATGTGCTGAAGGTATCAGCTTCCTGAAAGGGCTTCACAAATGCTAACATTGTACTTGGAGAAACCATAGTTGGAGGGGCTTAGGGAAATACTAGGTTTTATCACGAATTATTTCACCAGACTAAGCCTAACCTGAAGGCATCAACTGCCTTCTCTCTTTTTCTTAAAATTTTATTAAACAGAAGGGAAGTAAAAACCTGGCCTGCGTGATCTGCCAAAACCCATGGGACTGGTATCCCAGAACCTCACAGGCAGGTGTGTGAACGGGTTAAGAATTGTTGCCTAGCTTATTTCGGCACTGATGGTATTCTCAGGGCTTCTTTCAGGAGCAAGGGTGGGAGAGGTATTTTTCAGTGGGTCAAATACTAAATAGTCAGTGGTTGTAAATTGTAATTTGAAAAGCAGTTTAGGGCAGCATTGTCAAGCTTGGTGGTAAGGAACGATGAAAAATCTCTGGCCTGGCACTGACATCCTCTACTCACGGCGTACAGGCACACTCTCTTACACACACTAAGGGACTAGAAAGTGACTTTGAATTTGCTCTATACGAAAATCTCAACAGGGTTTTGCAATGTTTTTGTTTATAAAATTGGGATTTATTGTTAATTATATACAATTCAGAAAATACCTGGTAATAGGAGGAAGGAGAAAAAAATATGTGGTCCCATCACCCACCTTGAACACTGGTGTTTCTCTGTATGATATTTTCTTATATAGACCTTTAGTCTGTTTTTCTACATTGTAGGGGTTTTCTGTTTATGTATATATATTTTTTGTATTCTGCTTTTTTTTAAACTTAGAGTAGTAGCTCAAATATTTTTCCTATATTACTGCATACTCTGTAAATACCAATTTTAATAGCAGCATACTGTTCCATCGTCCAGAGTTTGTTTCTCCCCATTGAAAATGTTTGTTTTGCAAAGGATTTTCCTAGGCTATTTATAAGACAGATTTCTTTGTCCCCCTAATGTATTATGTCTGTCTCTAAACTTTAAATGGTTGTTTCAAACCACTTAGTCAATATTTGTAATTAAAGTATTAAAAGAAAATATAATTCCCTCCCAAAAGCGTAGTTAATGACATCATCCTGGCATACGCATTTGCAAATTGGAAACCTCCTTTTGGCTGACATAATGTCAATGTTACTAGGATTGGTGCCCAGCGAAAAGTTTATTGGCATTTAGCAAAGCCTTTCTGGAGAGAAGTCTAGTTATGTTAAAGTCTTGGAATTCTACATCTTAAGACAGGCTTACACAGTAGATTGATGTCTCAAAGCCTTCAGACCACATTTGAAAGGGAATGCCCTTTGTCTTTCTTAACTCTAGCTGAGCTGTGATGTGTCTTTTGGGAAGAGTAGAGGCAGGAAATATAATCTCCTTCCTGGCACTGGCACACGGGGTGACCTTTAGCAAGGCACTCCCCTTTTCTGGACCTCAGTTTCCACATCGTCAAAGAGGAGATTGAATTAGAAAGATAAATAAGGCTCTTTCCAGCTTGAATATTTTCAGATTCTTTTTCTAGGCAATTTGTTCTAACCACATTAGCCCTACTTTAACAGTTATATTTTTCTATAGTCAGCTGCTCAGTCACTGCAAGAGGGTACCTCTAGCAAGCTCCCTGCTCCTAGATTTCCATTTGAACGTCAGTGAAGTATGTTGGAGGCCAGTGTGCTAGCTCGTTGAGGAGGACTTTCCAAGGGTTGTTCTGGAAGCAGAAATCTAGCCCAGATCACTCCAGGGGACTAATCTCTGAATAATGTCCTTTGACACACGCACATATTTTCTGATGTTTCTCTTGACCTTGGAACTTAAAAGCAGCACAGAATGCTCAGTGAATTCTAACAGACTACAGCAAGGAAGTCCCTCCCATCCTTGGCTTTTCCAAGATGTAAGGTTGCTAGTATCCGTTCTTTAATTGTTGGCATTTTAAGGATGTCATCTTACCTTGCAGCTCTTCTGTTTCTCTCTGCTGCAGTTCAGTTTTTATAATGTTTGTGGTCAAAAGGACTTGGGTTGATTTGAGATAATTGTCACAGGGTTCTGAGGGGCACAAAATTATTTAGTGGAATGAACCCTAGATTGGGGATTGGGAGAGTAGCTTGAGCATGTCAGTTGCATTTTGTGAGTCTCAATTTCTTTATCTTAGAAGTTTAAAATGATGTTTCTAGAAAGGATCTTTCCTCTGGCTCCATGGATGAGAATTTGCTCCTAGCTTTAAAATGACCCAAAAGCAAGTCTTGGCAGCCATGGTGACTGTCACATTGGGCAGTTATTCATCCTTGTTGGCCAGCGTGATCCTGCTTGAGTCGTATATTCACTATATTAATTGTCAGTGGGTGTGTGTCATCAGGGGTTGCCAGAAGCCCCTGCTGTTTATCCAAAGCTAACAAACTGACAAGACAGGGCCAGCAGCTGCTAGTCAGCCATCAGCGAGAGGAGCAGGGACGCTTCTCAGGAAGGAAGCTCGTGGGAGTTGGTGCAAGCAAGAGAGGCGAGGGATTTGAATTGAGCTTTTAGAAATCTCATTCTTACTGGGCTGGAGGTTGATGTCTACACTGTAGCCTCCCTGATTCTTATTTGCACATTAGCTGTTTTCTCTCTCTTGTGGTAATTTGTTACCACTTCGCATAATAGAAAACTAATATGCGAAGCAACACGGCAGGCAGGTAGGAGTTGGGAGGGGCTGTCAGTATCTGCCCACCTTCACTAAACAACTTTTTGAGCCTCTCCCTCTCCTTGAAACATTAGCTGTACTGACCACTACTGGGTCTGAGTGTTTGTGTTTTCCTCACATACATACCAAAACACTCCTCCTACCCAGAGGACCCAGGAAAATGGATAGGAATTGGCAGACTAGGAAGCTCAGCAACTTGGGCTGGGGGACTTTTCTCTAGGGCGGTGGTCCTCAGAGTGTCCTGCAGACCAGAAGATCAGCATCACTGGGACTAGAAATGCAAATTCTCCAGACCTCTTGAATCAGACACCATGGACCTGGGGCCCAGCAATGTGTTTTAACAAGCCCTGCAGGGGTCTGTGATGCACCCCCAAGTGTGAGGACCACTGTGTCAGGAGATGTCCTGGTGGAGAACAGGTCTCTCAACTCAAAGGTCCCTATCTATGGACCAGGGAGCCTGCAGCTGTTCTCTCCTGTGAGCCTCAGCACGCAGGCCAAACTAGAGCCCTGTGGAGGGCAAGAGCTCCCTGGGGAGTCACATTTATGCAGCCTGTTCGTGTTACCCAGGAGAGCTGCTGAATTTGTTGAGTAAGTGTTTATCTCCTCAGCCAAGACTCTATTACCAAAATAAAGATGGAAGGAAGAATGCTTTTCCATATGTCCTTCCAACAAGTCATATGACAGATGAGGAAACTGAGGCTCAGAGTTTAAGTTACTTTCCCAAAGTCACACTGCTGGTAAGTGGCAGAGTCAGAATTTGGACCCAAGTCTGTGCCCTCAAGTGCCCT